CGGGTTTGCGAAGAACCAGCCAGAAGAACTCCATAACCTAGACCGGAAGACCCTAACCCTAAACCCTAAACCCTAAACCCGAAACCCCAAACCCTAAACCCTAAACCCTAAACCCTACACCCTAAACCCTAAACCCTAAACCCCAGCCATCCGCCGAGCTCTTGGCCATGATCACGAAGAAGCTGGGAAACCACTGCTCCCAGGCGAACTTGGAGTAGATAAAGAACCTGCTATTGGGGTTTAGGGTTTAGGGTTTAGGCTTTAGGGTTTAGGGTTTAGGGTTTAGGGTTTAGGGTTTAGGGTTTAGGGTTTAGGGTTTAGGGTTTAGGGTTTAGGGAAGACTCGGGTTTAGGGCTTAGGGCTTAGGATTGGCAGGGCTTCTGTTGCTGATGTCCCGAAAAGGACACCCAATATAATGGAGTCACCTGTGTTTGGAAGGCACGATATCCCAAATCACAGCAGCTCAAACCCTAAACCTTAAACTCCTAACACCTTACACCCGCAAACCCTAATCCCTCAAACCCTAAACCCTCAAACCCTAAACCCTCAAACCCTAAACCCTCAAACCCTAAACCCTAGACCTGAAACCCAAAAGAATCTAAACCTTGAACTCAAATTCAAAACCTTGAGACCAAAACCTGAGCCCCGAAGCCTTAACTCCTAAACCCCAAAACCCTAGATTCCTAAACCCCCGTAGAACCCCTAAACCCTTAAACCTTCATAAAGAAAAAAGACTCGAACCCTAAACAATAAAGAAAAAGGACTCAGCCCCTAAGAACCTTCATGAAGAAAAACGGACTCAAACCCTAAACTATTAAGAACAAAGACTCAAACCCTAAACCGACAAAGGCCAAACCCTAAACCCTAAACCCTAAACCCTAAACCCTAAACCCTAAACCCTAAACCCTAAACCCTAAACCCTAAACCCTAAACCCTAAACCCTAAACCCTAAACCCTAAACCCTAAACCCTAAACCCCAAACCGAACAGCTTGGTTGCCGGCGCGTTGGAGGAGAGGGTGTCGAAGCCCGCAATCAGGGACTCAGTGCGATCTACGGTTTAGGAAATAGGGCTTTTGGAGGCTCAGGGTATGGGGCTTCAGGGGTGTTGGGGCTAGGGTTTAGGGCTTAGGGTTTAGGATCTTTAGGGTTGAGGGCTTTAGGGGTTTAGGGTCTAGGGTTTAGGCTTGGGGCTTGGGGGTCTAAACCCTCAACCCACGAGGCTGATAGGTTTAGGGTTTAGGGTTCAGGGTTTAGGGTTTGGGGTTAGGGTTTAGAATTTAGGGCTGACAAAGGCTCAGAAGGCCCTAAACCCTACACCCCAGCGAGCATAACGCGCAGCTAACCCCCGAAAACCCTAAACACCGTCCGAGCGCCGGGCCATAATCGTTAAGATGAAGACCACCAGGGCGATTCCCCAAAGCAGAATGCGCCCCTGAGTTAGGGTTTAGGGTTTAGGGTTTAGGGTTTAGGGTTTAGGGTTTAGGGTTTAGGGTTTAGGGTTTACGGTTTAGGGTTTAGGGTTTAGGGTTTAGGGTTTCGGGTTTAGGGCTAAGGGCTTAGGGTTTAGGGTTTAGGGTTTAGGGCTTAGGGTTTAGAGCTTAGGGTTTAGGACGTAGGGTCCTGTAGGGTTTAGGGCTTTAGGCTTCGGGGCCTAAACCCTAAACCCTAAACCCTAAACACTAAACCCTGAACCCTGAGCCCTAAACCCTAAACCCTAAACCCTATGGGTTTAAATTTGGGGCTTTAAGGTTTAGGATGTCGAGTCGATTCATATAAGTCCCAAGCTCTGGACTTGCCCTAGACCCCAAGACCCGTGAGCACCCTAAGTTCTTTGCTCACTCGCCCAAACCAACCCGCACAGCCATCCGGCGCGATGTGGTTTAGGGTTTAGGGTTTAGGGTTTAGGGTTTAGGGTTTAGGGTTTAGGGTTTAGGGTTTAGGGTTTAGGGTTTAGGGTTTAGGGTTTAGGGTTTAGGGTTTAGGGTTTAGGGTTTAGGGTTTAGGGTTTAGGGTTTAGGGCGGACAGAGTCATGGAGGTGACCTGCCGGGGCCGCGATGTTAGAACTGACACAGTCCCCCCAACCCGGCTGCTTCTCTGCGAAAATTCTCATACGAGCACAGTCCCCCCAACCCCGCTGCTTCTCTGTGCGATGACGTCAGAGCGCAGACGTTCGGATGGCATCGAAAAGGGAGGCCAGACATTCGCTCGTGCCCTTCATGATTTGGAGACATTGCACTTTGCGCTTCTATTCCACCATGTAACTACCCTAAACCCTAAACCCCCAAACCCTAAACCCTAAACCCTAAACCCTACACCCTAAACCCTACATTCCACCATGGTGTTTACCCTTTTTCACCCTTGTTTAAAGGCCCCGAGGCTGGAGGTGTGCCATCTACTCGTCTGAGGGTTACTACAGGGAGGGTTGGGGGTCTGGGGCAGAACCCCTAAACCCTAAGCCCTAAGCCCTAAACCCTAAACCCTAAACCCTAAGCCCTAACTAAGCCCTAAACCCTAAACCCTAAACCCTAAACCCTAAACGTTTACAGCCTAGGGGGTCAGAGTTGAGGATGTGGACTGAGTCGGGGCTTAGGGTCTAATAAGGTTCAACCCTAAGCCCTAAACCCTAAACTCTAAATCCTAAACCCTAAGCCCTAAACCCTAAACCCTAAACCCTAAGCCCTAAACCCTTTAGGGCTGAAGACTTAGGGCTCAGGGCTTAGGGCCTAGGTCTTGGGGCTTAGGGCTTGGGAACCCTAAACCCCCTCTTTTCTCAGGGGCGCACCCTCCTAAACCCTAAGCCCTAAGCCCTAAACCCTAAACCTTAAAGCCCCAAATTTAAACCCATAGGGTTTAGGGTTTAGGGTTTAGGGTTTAGGGTTTAGGGTTTAGGGTTTAGGGTTTAGGCTTTAGGCTTTAGGCTTTAGGCTTTAGGCTTTAGGCTTTAGGCTTTAGGCTTTAGGCTTTAGGCTTTAGGCTTAAGCCCTAAACCCTACAGGACCCTACGCCCGAAATCCAAACCTCGAACCCAAGCAGTCTTCTAAGGGTAGTTACACGGTCCCTAAATATGGGCCTTTAAAGGGTGAAACCTCATATACCACTTGTATACCCTAAAAAACCAAAGGGCCCTTACTTCAGAACCCTTTAAAGAAGGCATGGGGCCATATGAAGGGACCATGTAACTACCCTTGCACCTAGACCCTAAACCCGACACCCTAAACCCTAAACCCTAAACCCATTACCTCAATGGAACCACGTAACTACCCCTTAGGTATCTCGGCGCCCGGCGATGCCGGGCCATGGCACATTATGAACCCCGAGGATCGAATCCTGCGCGCCCATGAGAGGTTCAGGGCCCAGGGTTTACGGTTTAGGGTTTAGGGATTAGGGTTTAGGGTTTAGGGTTCAGGTTTTAGGATTTAGGGTCTAGGGTTTAGGATTTCGGGTTTAGGGCGTCGGGGTTCATGTTTGGTGTCAATCAAACAAGTGAGTCGGCGAGCGCAGATAAATCCACGAGTTTCTGAGGATCCGAGAAACGAATATTCAGGGGGTTTAGGGTTTATTTGGTTTAGGGTTTACATGGTTTAGGGTTTAGGGGTTTAAGGTTTAAGTTTGAGGCTTTAGGGTTTAGGGTTTAGGGTTTACGGTTTAGGGTTTAGGGTTTAGGGTTTAGGGTTTAGGGTTTAGGGTTTAGGGTTTAGGGTTTAGGGTTTAGGGTTTAGGGTTTAGGGTTTAGTGTTTATATGGTTTAGGGTTTAGTAGGGGTTTAGGGTTTGGGCTTGAGGCTTTAGGGTTTAGGGTTTAGGGTTTAGGGTTTAGGGTTTAGGGTTTAGGGTTTAGGGTTTAGGGTTTCGGGTTTCGGGTTTAAAGTTTTGGGTTTAGGGTTTAGGGTTTAGGGTTCAGGGTTGGTTTAATGGGAAAAAGGCCTTTGACAGCTCACCGTGTCTTTCCTGAACCCTAAACCACTTCGGGGAGTGAAGGCTTTGTATGGATTAGGGTTACGGGGTTTAGGGGTTTAGGGTATAGACTTTAGAGTTTGGGCGAAAGCCTGATCTCTTAGAATCTTCAAGCGTTGAGTCTCCGTAACGCCCTGAAGCCCTGAACCCTAACAAAGAAAACAGAGGCCGGGTTTCGGGTTTAGGTTTTTGGGCTTCGGGTGTAAGGTCTTGGGTCAGGGTGTATTGAAGAACCCTAACCCCTAAACATTAAACCCTAAACCCTAAACCCTAAGGCCTAAATTGCGCCTCCTCCTCCGCCTCGGAAGACGCCATGGCCCGCGCCGCTTAGCGGATGTGCCTAGACTTAGAACTCTCGCAACGGAGGTCCATGTCTCAGTTCTCCAAAACTGCACTTGGAACCCTAACCCCTAAACCCTAAACCCTGAAAAAGTATATAAAGTGTTCCCAAGTATCCCAAGGTCTCTAGGTGCGTCAGGAGAAGAAAGGATGGATGGCTGTAGCTGATGGGAGATCTCTAGCGGCAGTTCGTTGCTCAGTCGTGATGTGATGAGGGTATGTTCTGATCAAATCTGTTGCCCAAACATGCCTAACACTTCTGCATTAGGACCCACAATCCGAATCAGAGCGGCCATACTTCTCAGAAGCCAAGCCCCTTGAGATGTTCGCTCTGCCCATCGTCGGATCTCACATCAACACTCGGCAGATTCTAGTGACCAACTAGGGTTTAGGGTTTGGGGCTTGGGGTTTAGGGTTTAGGGCCTTTAGGGTTTAGGGTTTGGGGAGTCTAGTGACCAACTTGGAAGACACCGCAAAAATCACCGAGATACTCACGAGCAAATCACGCAGAACGGGCCTTAAAGGTCGGCAACATGGGCGCGGTTCAGGGTTTAGGGTTTGGGGTTTGGGGTTTGGGGTTTAGGGTTCAGGGTTTAGGGTTTAGGGTTTAGGGTTTAGGGTTTAGAGTTTAGGGTTTGGGGTTTAGGGTTTGGGGTTTAGGGTTTAGGGAACAAAGCCGCAGTTGTTTTCCGGCCGCACTCATCTCCGGCTGCCGGCGAGCGGGGCGCTTCGGCTTTGGTTCTGGCGTCTCTCCGGCATCGTCCAGGTCATTGCTGCGCCTCTTGCGCTTTGGCGTCAGCAGCTGCGATTCTCGCAATGCAGAGGGATGATCCTTCTCCTGGTCGACAACCCTGCTGGCGGTCTCTGACTTTCTCGCCAAGGCGTTAAACATAATCTCGTCCGGTGAACCCCGACCGCCAGCAACCAAGTAGTACACCAGCACTCGACTAGCTTGCTGGCCCATCCTATGTATCCTCGACTCCGCTTGGTTGAGCGCGCTGGGCGTCCAGCACAGCTCGGCGAAGATGCAGGTGTCGGCAATGTCAAGATTCAGCCCGGTGTTACACGCCGTCAGTGCCAAAACAGCAAAGCGGCAGCCATCAGCGGACTTGAACGTGGTCAGCTGCCTGTTCCGCTCGTTTGGGCTCGTGTCGCCGGTGATGTGGACCCACAAATCGCCGCAGCTGCCCTCGCCGAGCTGCTTTCCTTGCTTACCAAGGGGAAAAATTAAAAAAATAATAAACTTTACTGTTCCAACTAAATATGCAAACCAAAAACGTTTCAAGTTCAACTATTGACTAAGTAAGCTTCTGAAAAACTCCGCCAACTTGTCATGGACGCACTTGTGGTGGGCGAAGATCAAGACCTTGGTCTTCACCCCGGCCTGCTCATCAAAAAACGAGGTGTGCAGCCAATCGCAGACTGCGGTCTGCTTCGCTTCTGCCAGCAGCTTGAAGATCTTCATGATCTCGTGGCTGGGCAGGCTGTCGATCTCATCACCTCCTTCTGGCCTCTCTCTTTGGCGGCCCTAAACCCTAAACCCTAAACCCTAAACCCTAAACCCTAAACCCTAAACCCTAAACCCTAAACCCTAAACCCTAAACCCTAAACCCTAAACTCATCACCTTCTGGCCTCTCTTTGGCGGCCTTCTCGAAATCTGAAACCAGCTGCTGCTGCTTGGCGACGGGCCCCATCTCGGACGGGGTCAGCTCGAGGTGCACCTTCAAGCGCCTGGCTGGTTTAGGGTTTAGGGTTTAGGGTTTAGGGTTTAGGGTTTAGGGTTTAGGGTTTAGGGTTTAGGGTTTAGGGTTTAGGGTTTAGGGTTTAGGGTTTAGGGTTTAGGGTGGGTTTAGGGTTTAGGGTTTAGGGTTTAGGGTTTAGGGTTTAGGGTTTAGGGTTTAGGGTTTAGGGTTTAGGGTTTAGGGTTTAGGGTTTAGGGTTTAGGGTTTAGGGTTTAGGGTTTAGGGTTTAGGGTTTTAGGGTTTAGGGTTTCGGGTTTCGGGTTTCGGGTTTCGGGTTTCGGGTTTCGGGTTTAGGGTTTAGGGTTTAGGGTTTAGGGTCTAGGGTTTAGGGCTTAGGGTTTGTTTACCCCCCAAAAAGCGCACACGTTCAGTTCTATGTAGGGGATTCTGGTATCCCAAAAAGTGTAAAGTGTACTTTGGGACGTCCCGCCTTAGACTAGCGGTCCTTACTAGGGACTATAGTACCCTACGACAGGCCCCATTAAGGAGCTGTTCGTATAAGGGGGAACTACTCCCTAAACCCTCAACCCTCCACCCTCAACCCTCAACCCTCAACCCTAAACCTTAAACCCTAAACCCTACTGCGGGGCGGCCTTTTTGGTGGTAGCTCTGCGAGCACCTCCTCCTTCGTCCGCCGCACCATGAAAAGGCGCAGCAGCTCGGAGAGCTTGTCCTCATGCTCCTTGCACACCTGGGCTGCGAGGGTTTAGGGTTTAGGAGTTTAGAGTTTAGGGGTTTCGGGTTTAGGGTCTAGGGTTCAGGGCTTAGGGGTTTAGGGGTTTAGGGGTTTAGGGGTTTGGGGGTTTGGGGGTTTGGGGGTTTGGGGGTTTTGGGGTTTAGGGGTTTAGGGGTGTAGGGGTTTAGGGGTTTAGGGGTTTAGGGGTTTAGGGGTTTAGGGGTTTAAGGGTTTAGGGGTTTAGGGGTTTGGGGGAAATGGAATACGGGCACTACTGAGCATCCTAGCCACGCCAGTCCAACGATTGATGGTCCTATATCCTGTGTTGAATGCCCTGTTCTCGGCACAGAAATGCGTACACCACTTGTCCAAAGGCGGCAAACGAATGCGGTTGCCAATAACAGCAGCCATAAGTGGGAGGATATCGCCGGCTGACGAATTCGCAAGCGGTGTGCCCGTCATCAGGATCGCTCGCGTAGCTGTGTGCAGGATAGGAATCAAGGTCTTCGTTCGCTGCGTCTTGAAATCCTTGAGCGCGTGGGCCTCGTCGATGATCACCGTGCGGTACGGCTGGCCATCCGCTGCGACGCGTAGATGACCATTGCTTTGACCACCCGTACCTTGGTTGCTGAGTTCATAAGCCCCCCAAAAGTACACACTTTCAGTTCTCTAGGGGGATTGTGGTATCCCAAAACGTGTATAAAGTGTACTCAAACCCTAAACCCTAAACCCTAAACCCTGAACCCTAAACCCCAAACCCTAAAACTAAGGCACCGTTTGCAACGCCCTTGCGCTGCATCTGTCCAACGACGAGGCCGTAGGAAACCAGAACAAACTGCGCTGTTGGCCTGATCTCCACCGGCACTTTCCTCGGTTGGCCCTTTGAACCCTCTGAAAAATATTCATATATATATATATATATTCATATGTACGAAGGACCTTTATGTACTATTTGGCAATCCTTTTTGTTTTATTTATATAAATAAGCGCGCTATTTTTTTTAGAATTTAAAGAATTTAAACGCTTTAAATTCCTTAAATTGGAAATAAGGCCGGTATTTCTTTTTTAAGGAATTTAAGGAATTTAAAGGGCTTAAATTCCTTAAATTCCTTAAATTGGAAATAAGGCGGGTATTTCTTTTTTAAAGAATTTCAGGAATTTAAAGGGCTTAAATTCCTTAAATTCCTTAAATTGGAAATGAGGCCGGTATTTCTTTTTTAAGGAATTTAAGGAATTTAAAGGGCTTAAATTCCTTAAATTCCTTAAATTGGAAATAAGGCCGGTATTTCTTTTTTAAAGAATTTAAGGAATTTAAATGGCTTAAATTCCTTAAATTCCTTAAAATGGAAATAGGCCGGCGCCTGGGTCCTGAAAGAGGGGCCGCCTATTTAAATTTTATAAATCCTTTAAATTCTTTAAATTCTTTAAATTGGAAATAAGGCCGGTATTTCTTTTTTAAGGAATTTAAGGAATTTAAAGGGCTTAAATTCCTTAAATTCCTTAACTTGGAAATAAGGCCGGTACTTCTTTTTTAAGGAAATTAAGGAATGTAAAGGGCTTAAATTCCTTAAATTCCTTAAATTGGAAATAGGCCGGCGCCTGGGTCCTGAAACAGGGGCCGCCTATTTAAATTTTATAAATCCTTTAAATTCTTTAAATTCTTTAAATTGGAAATAAGGCCGGTATTTCTTTTTAAGGAATTTAAGGAATTTAAAGGGCTTAAATTCCTTAAATTGCTTAAATTGGAAATAGGGCCGGTATTTCTTTTTTAAGGAATTTAAAGAATTTAAGGAATTTATAAAATTTAAATTGGGGGGCCTGGGTCTTGAAATAGGGGCCGCCTATTTAAATTTTATAAATCCTTCAAAATCTTTAAATTCTTTAAATTGGAAATAAGGCCGGTATTTCTTTTTTAAAGAATTTAAGGAATTTAAAGGGCTTAAATTCCTTAAATTCCTTAAATTGGAAATAGGGCGGGTATTTCTTTTTTAAGGAATTTAAAGAATTTAAAGGGTTTAAATTCCTTAAATTCCTTAAATTGGAAATAGGGCCGGTATTTCTTTTTTAAGGAATTTAAAGAATTTAAAGAATTTATAAAATTTAAATTGGGGGGCCTGGGTCCTGAAACAGTGGCCGCCTATTTAAATTTTATAAATCCTTTAAATTCTTTAAATTCTTTAAATTGGAAATAAGGCCGGTATTTCTTTTTTAAGGAATTTAAGGACTTTAAGGGGCTTAAATTCCTTAAATTCTTTAAATTGGAAATAGCGCGGGTATTTCTTTTTTAAGGAATTTAAGGAATTTAAAGGGCTTAAAGTCCTTGAATTCCTTAAATTGGAAACAAGGCCCGTATTTCTTTTTTAAGGAATTTAAGGAATTTAAAGGGCTTAAATTCCTTAAATTCCTTAAATTGGAAATAGGGCCCGTATTTCTTTTTTCAGGAATTTACGGAATTTAAAGGGCTTAAATTCCTTGAAATCCTTAAATTGGAAATAGGGCCGGTATTTCTTTTTTAAGGAATTTAAAGAATTTAAGGAATTTATAAAATTTAAATTGGGGCGCCTGGGTCCTGGCACAGGGGCCGCCTATTTAAATTTTATAAATCCTTTAAATTCTTTAAATTCTTTAAATTGGAAATAAGGCCGGTATTTCTTTTTTAAGGAATTTAAGGAATTTAAAGGGCTTAAATTCCTTAAATTCCTTAAATTGGAAATAAGGCCGGTATTTCTTTTTTAAGGAATTTAAGGAATTTAAAGGGCTTAAATTCCCTAAATTCCTTAAATTGGAAATAGGGCCTGTATTTCTTTTTTAAGGAATTTAAGGAATTTAAAGGGCTTAAATTCCTTAAATTCCTTAAATTGCAAATAGGGCCAGTATTTCTTTTTTAAGGAATTTAAAGAATTTAAGGAATTTATAAAATTTAAATTGGGGTGCCTGGGTCCTGAAACAGGGGCCGCCTATTTAAATTTTATAAATCCTTTAAATTCTTTAAATTCTTTAAATTGGAAATAAGGCCTGTATTTCTTTTTTAAGGAATTTAAGGAATTTAAAGGGCTTAAATTCCTTAAATTGCTTAAATTGGAAATAGGGCCGGTATTTCTTTTTTAAGGAATTTAAAGAATTTAAGGAATTTATAAAATTTAAATTGGGGGGCCTGGGTCTTGAAATAGGGGCCGCCTATTTAAATTTTATAAATCCTTTAAATTCTTTAAATTGGAAATAAGGCCGGTATTTCTTTTTTAAGGAATTTAAGGACTTTAAGGGGCTTAAATTCCTTAAATTCTTTAAATTGGAAATAGCGCGGGTATTTCTTTTTTAAGGAATTTAAGGAATTTAAAGGGCTTAAATTCCTTGAATTCCTTAAATTGGAAACAAGGCCCGTATTTCTTTTTTAAGGAATTTAAGGAATTTAAAGGGCTTAAATTCCTTAAATTCCTTAAATTGGAAATAGGGCCCGTATTTCTTTTTTCAGGAATTTACGGAATTTAAAGGGCTTAACTTCCTTGAAATCCTTAAATTGGAAATAGGGCCGGTATTTCTTTTTTGAGGAATTTAAAGAATTTAAGGAATTTACAAAATTTAAATTGGGGCGCTGGGTCCTGGCACAGGGGCCGCCTATTTAAATTTTATAAATCCTTTAAATTCTTTAAATTCTTTAAATTGGAAATAAGGCCGGTATTTCTTTTTTAAGGAATTTAAGGAATTTAAAGGGCTTAAATTCCTTAAATTCCTTAAATTGGAAATAAGGCCGGTATTTCTTTTTTAAGGAATTTAAGGAATTTAAAGGGCTTAAATTCCTTAAATTCCTTAAATTGGAAAGAAGGCCGGTATTTCTTTTTTAAGGAATTTAAGGAATTTAAAGGGCTTAAATTCCTTAAATTCCTTAAATTGGAAATAGGGCCGGTATTTCTTTTTTAAGGAATTTAAAGAATTTAAGGAATTTATAAAAATTTAAATTGGGGTGCCTGGGTCCTGAAACAGGGGCCGCCTATTTAAATTTTATAAATCCTTTAAATTCTTTAAATTCTTTAAATTGGAAATAAGGCCGGTATTTCTTTTTTAAGGAATTTAAGGAATTTGAAGGGCTTAAATTCCTTAAATTCCTTAAATTGGAAATAGGGCCCGTATTTCTTTTTTAAAGAATTTAAGGAATTTAAAGGGCTTAAATTCCTTAAATTCCTTAAATTGGAAATAGGGCCGGTATTTCTTTTTTGAGGAATTTAAGGAATTTAAAGGGCTTAAATTCCTTAAATTCCTTAAATTGGAAATAGTGCTATTTCTTTTTTAAGGATTTTAAAGAATTTAAAGAATTTATAAAATTTAAATTGGGGTGCCTGGGTCCTGAAACAGGGGCCGCCTATTTAAATTTATAAATCCTTTAAATTCTTTAAATTCCTTAAATTGGAAATAAGGCCGGTATTTCTTTTTTAAGGAATTTAAGGAATTTAAAGGGCTTAAATTCCTTAAATTCCTTAAATTGGATTTTTCAAGAATTTAAGGAATTTCAAGGGCTTAAATTCCTTAAATTCCTTAAATTGGAAATAGGGCCGGTATTTCTTTTTTAAGGAATTTAAAGAATTTATGGAATTTATAAAATTTAAATCGGGGGGCCTGGGTCCTGAAACAGGGGCCGCCTATTTAAATTTTATAAATCCTTTAAATTCTTTAACTTCTTTAAATCGGAAATAAGGCCGGTATTTCTTTTTTAAGGAATTTAAGGAATTGAAGGGCTTCAATTCCTTAAATTCTTTAAATTGGAAATAGGGCCCGTATTTCTTTTTTAAAGAATTTAAGGAATTTAAAGGGCTTAAATTCCTTAAATTCCTTAAATTGCAAATAGGGCCGGTATTTCTTTTTTAAGGAATTTAAAGAATTTAAGGAATTTATGAGATCTGGCCGTTGTTTTTTAACGGAATGTATATAGCAAATGCTACTTACAAAGACACCCTCACCGGAGATTTGTGTTTTTGCACATTTTTTCATTTTTTCTGTAGCAGAACTCACCTTCAAAGGACACCCACACCGGAAACCTCTATTTTTGCACATGTGCGTTTTCTGTGTTTTTCTGTAGCAAAACCCACCTTAAAAGACATCCACACTGGAGACCCCGCCACCGCTCCGATACAATTTCATTAGCTAAGTAAAATAAGGATTCTATTAATATTTAACTACTTATTAATAGAAGGCCTTATGCCCTGTTTTGATTGATATTCGCTTTGGTTTCATCGTGATTGGCTACACTCCAAAAGGGTAACAGCCCATTTTAGCCAGTTTCTTTTTGGCGCGGCACTTCTTAAAAAAAAACCTTAAATTGCTTTAATTCTTTAAATTCCTAAATGCATAATTTAAGAATTTAAGGAATTTAAGGTTTTTTTTTTTAATTAAAAAAAGGGTCGGCCCAACAATTTTATTGACCCAATTTAGGAATTTAAGGAATTTAAGGAATTAAGGTTTGTTTTTTAAATTTAAAAAGGGCCGGCCCAACAATTTGATTTACCTACTTTAAGAATTTAAGGAATTTAAGGTTTTGTCCAAATTTCAAGGCTTTTTTGGGGAGGCCCAGCGCCTTCCCCTTAAATCCTTAAACCCTAAACCCTAAGCTCCTAAGCGCCTAAGGGCCTCACCCCTAAACCCTTAAGCCCTAAACCCTAAGCTCCTAAGCTCCGAAGAGCCTACCCCCTAGATCCTTAAACCCTAAGCTCCAAAGCTCCTGAACGTCTACCCCCTAAACCCTTAGACCCTAAACCCTAAGCTCCTGAGGTCCTAAGCGCCTAAGTGCCTACCCCTTAAATCCTTAAACCCTAGGCTCCAAAGCTCCTAAGCTCCTCAACGTCTACCCCCTAAACCCTTAGACACTAAACCCTGAGCT